TTACTCATCTGTGGGTTAATTTTCTACACAGAATCGAAATTGTTTTCTGAATCTAACTAATTCAAACGTTGAACACTGAAATACTCATTGGAGTTACAAAGGATTAACTCTTTTATTTACAATAGTGCAAAATTTATCTTTTATACATTTTGAATATTTCATTTATTGGGAAGAGGCCGGTGGCATTGAGTGTATACATGTAAGTTTTCATTTCATGTCATGCATTGTCGTTTTGCTTTCTTTTTGCATATTTAATTAAGTTGTCTCGTTAATTTTAGGAAAAGATCGAGTATTTTTTCCAATACAAATGATGGAGGAGAGCATTTATTTTCATTATCATCTATATATACCACCTATGAAAGTTTGGACAAAATTAGTCACACAAATTTGATATTATATAATGCTGCAGTTTATCGGGGGGAAAGGACATTAAAGATATACTTGTATGTAATGAAAATAAATGCTCTCCTTCATCATACGTATTGGATATAATACTAGATCTGTTTTATAAATACACCCACTTTGCTGGCCATTCATCAAGACATTAAGAGTGTATCGACTGTGTTTATTTCTGGTAATATTTGATCATCTGTCAATTTCTACCATTGAATCCATGTGAAAATTCATTCAATGTTTTATATATCTAACAATTGGTTGGGAATATGTTTTGAACTATACGAGCTTCCACTTACATAATAACTAGCACAACCGGAGAACGACTGACACTGTATGAATTGTATGGTCACCATCACGTATTGATGGCGGTTGATGCATGTAATTTAGTTTGGATTTTGTGTTTTCCTCAGGTTTTGCTTGTTGCATTGATATATAGATATAGAAAGATGTGGTATGAGTGCCAATGAGACAACTCTCCATCCAAGTTACAATTTATAAAAGTAAACCATTATAGGTCAAGGTACGGCCTTCAACACGGAGCATTGGCTCACACCGAACAGCAAGCTATAAAGGGCACCACAAAATTACTAGTTTAAAACCATTCAAACGGAAAAACCAACGGTCTAATCTATATAAAAACGAGAAACGAGAAACACGTATGAATTACATAAACAGACGACAACTACTGTAATCAGATTCCTGACTTAGGACAGGTGCAAACATTTGCAACGGGATTAAACGTTTTGATGGTACCAAACCTTCTCCCTTTTCTGAAATAATAGTATAACATCACAACTTAGAAAAACACACTATAGAATATCAATTGGAAGGCTTAACTCAATCAAAAAACGTAAATTAACACACAATGAACGAATAAATTTGACCTGTGACACCTGAATGCAAATACACTGTTAATAAAAAAATTACAAGGGATAAATAATTAAAGTCAAAAGTAAATAAACAGGTTTAAACAAAGTTAAAGTATGATATCACTGTGAAATTTCAAACAATTTTAAGAAAATCATCACCTTTGAAGAAACCTGCGTCATATTATACACAGGTAAATGACAATAATTTTGTTGTTAAGTATACTACTTCTTCTGTGTGTATAAAATCTTCCGTTTAGGAATACAAAGAAATTTCTTTAATATCAATAAAACTAATCTAACACTTGGTCCATAAATGGTGAATATCAACAATAAAAATTTAAATTAGTGCTAGATAAAACTTCCTGTACAGGTCCAAGAACAGCATCTAAGGAAAAATGAAATAATTTTGATGTTCATAGTACGAAGAAGTGAAAATTTGTAGTAAATTAAATACCAAATAATCAAAGCTAGTTTATAGACAAGGTGTTTATTTTAATCGATTTATATTTCGAGATTTGAAGACCGATAAACTACTTTCGCCTCAATTGAACACGCAGAGCAGAGTTTGACATTTAATCCTGGTACCTATGATAAGTTTATTTAAGTATTTTTGTTTAAAATCATATCCGATTATAATAGTCAAAAGAAAAGATCAAAAACACTGATGATAGAAAATGGGGTATTTTTTTCAAGATTGATTTAAAAGATGATAATTCACATAAATAAGTACCGTTTGTAGCATCAAAACGCTAAACGAAACGGTAAAAAATAAGTTGGACAGGGTTCGACTTAGACCAGGAGCAGAACCACCGGGGTCCGAGAAAGAGGGGACGTAATTGTCAAACATGGTGCAATTAGCGACGTGCGAAGAGATGCGAAATTAAAAAAAAATCTTAGCAAAAAATTGATATTTTTCAGATCAAAGGAAAGGGGCGTACGCCTTCTACACACATCTGAATCCGCCACTGACTCCTCTGATCTGTATTTAGTACAAAAACTTCTGACAACCAACCGTTTCGTCGGAAAGTTAGGTCCCATCAGATTGTTGTCATCAGATAATCCTAACTCTTCCCAACTGTAATGTTGTTTACAATTGTGTTTGTTTCTTAATCATGTAATGCATTTGTGACATGATCGGTATGGTGTTTTTTAATGTCTGAAATCTTTTCAAAGATAAAACTGATAATTTGAAATAATTGATGAAAATTGCAAAATGAAAAAAAATTTTCAATCATTGTAATTTATTGCAGTATTGTGATCCTCATTTTATTTAATAGGCAAACTTGATTTTGTTCCGCTGAAATATAATGCAATGCAGAGTTAACGACAATCTACAATTCAAAATTTATATTATACACCCACTTTAAGTGTCAGAATTAATCTAGGCAAAAAATAATAATAAAACCCACTAACTCTAAGGTCAATTTAAAATGGGGAAGTCTATATAAACTGACAAAATCAAACGTTAGACTTTATCAACCAACGGAAGAAATGGAGAACAACTGTCATAATTCTGACTTGGTTCAGGAATTTTCAAAAGAAAAGGGTGGGTTAAACATCGTTTCATAGATAGTTAAATTTCCCACTTGTATGACAGTTATTTTTAGTTCCGTTATTTTAACAAAATTGGATGAGATATTGAACAATGGAGGCAATATTGCAATCACCTTGTCCATGCGTTCGTCCGTCCGTCCGTTTGTCATGTAATACTTTAAATTTAATGTAAGTGTATGATAAGCACGGCAATCTTGTTTTACTTGACCCTCACTAATTGTTTTATTACACACGATTTTGAGATATGTCATTTAGTTTCGATAAATGACCACTACTTATTTTAAAATGTTAAAACAGTCCATCTTCGTAATTTACTACTACTACAAAAAGAAATTGAGCGATTATCAACAAAAAGTTTTGTAAATATCACTTGGAAAAATATATACCATAGTTTACCGACTCGTGAAAAGGTCTTCGTCTCACTTTGTTGCTCTCTTATTGACATATAGCCAAGATTATCGCATTGGTATCTCTAATAGGGAGCAAAGCGACATTGCCATTCAGAAGAGAACAATTAGCAATAAAAGAGGAACAGTTATGAATGTCAATTTATGGGACTTGTGCTAATGTCAAGGTTCACATAGGACAACGATTCCTTAAATTAAATTGAATGTCACATACAAAACATAACAAGGTTCCGTCGATATACTATCAAATTAAAGTTAGTGTACAAAGATCAGTTATTATTTACTACCATTGGGTCGATACCGCTGCTGGTGGAATATTAGTCCCCTATTGTACCAACAACTAAGTGGTCAGTGCTTCGGTACTGAAAGGATTTGAACAAACATTTTAAAGTCCACTTTGATGAATTGAAAATCCTACTCCCTCAGGAAAATTGATCCTAGATGAATTTTGTATTGTTTCGGGTCCCTTCTGGCGATATATATCTTTTCGCGTTGTAAGGTCTCATCATCCATCCTTGGCTTTAAATGTTTGTGATCGAGTGTTCCTGTTAAAGGTTAGTGAAAAAAGCACTTTGAAAGCATGACATAAATAAGGTGTTATTTTCATTTACATTCATAAGGTCGATGCCATTGATCTTGCACTGTTAGTCTTCAAGGGCTTCATCAGTCAGGAGCCAGTGCCTTGGGACTTACATAGTTTTTTTAAAAAAATTCTTAAATTCATCGTTGATAAAATAAAAGTATAACAAACATACCGAACTCGAATACAATTTCACAAATGGTGAGTCAATAAAAACTGACAAAATCAAACACTATCAATATACAGAACAAGTAAAAAATAACTGCCATATAATGACTTGATACATGCATTTTCCGAAAAAAATGAATTAAGAATTTTCTAAGCAGCTAAATTTCCGAATACCTCAGGAAAAAGAGGATTAAATACAAAAGGGATATTCAAACTCTTAAGAGTCGATCGATGATACACGGACAAAGCCATGACAAAAACAAACCGAAATAAAGAAAGACAAACAACAGATTACAAAACACACCATAGAAAACTAAAGACTGAGCAATACTTACAATAGATGAATTATTATTATTTCTTATGTATGTTTTTTTTGTCATCTTTATCCGAACAAGTTTATGTGTTATTCATTTCTGGCTTTCAAATGTTTTGGTTAGAACGTTCCCTATGTGGGTACATCCAGAAATGTTTTGGTTTGAACATTCCCTGTGTGGGTACATCCAGAAATGTTTTGGTTTGAACATTCCCTATGTGGTTACATCCAGAAATGTTTTGGTTTGAACGTTCCCTATGTGGGTACATCCAGAAATGTTTTGGTTAGAACATTCCCTATGTGGGTACCAAATGTTTTGGTGTGAACGTTCCTTGTGTGGGTATCAAATGTTTTGGTTTGAACATTCCCTGTGTGGGTACATCCAGAAATGTTTTGGTTTGAACGTTCCCTGTGTGGGTACCAAATGTTTTGGTTTCAACATTTCCTGTGTGGGTACATCCAGAAATGTTTTGGTTTGAACGTTAACATAAAACATTAAGTACCCAAACAGGGAATGTTCAAACCAAAACATTTGGTACCCACACAGAGAATGTTCAAACCAAAACATTTGGTACCCACACAGGGAATGTTCAAACCAAAACATTTGGTACCCACACAGAGAATGTTCAAAACAAGACATTTCTGGATGTACCCTGTGCTGGCTCGACCAGTCAGTTTAAACCAGGTGATTGGCTTTACTAAGAGATAAAACAATCAGGTGCTGACTTTTATTCTATCACCAATCCAAAAATGGTAAATAACTGAAAATACAAAATAAAGTACAATTTTACAATGTGTTAAATAATATAATTAAAGTTAATGATTCATCCGGTATGGAGTAGCGGCGTAGTCCGGGATGTAGCAATGCAATGCTCCGACACGGCGTAGTCCAGAATGTAGAAATGAAATACTTCCAATGTAAAAATAGGTAAATTAGACTTTTGTTGCACAGTTAAATGTATCACGCGCAATTTGAAGGCATCAATTAAACTATTTCAAATGTTACTCACGCTGTGGTTAGCCACAAATTGTGATTAAGAATGCATCCTGCGACAGTCCTTTATCCAGTGATGTGACGTGGCAAGGTTGATTTGCAAAAGACGGATGCGAGGCTACGGTAACAATAGAATGTTGTACGGTGAAGGCTAAATCAAATTCCGGAAAAATATAACTAATCGTGAATATAATTACATAAAATATATAGATAAATTAGGAGATCCAAGGCAACACATACCCACATAGGGAATGTTCAAACCAAAACATTTCTGGATGTACCAACAGAGGGAATGTTCCTCTTTTTCCTGGGGTATTCCAGAAATGTTTGAACATTCCCTGTGTGGGTACATCCAGAGTGTTTTGGTTAGAACATTCCCTATGTGGGTACCAAATGTTTTGATTTGAACGTTCACTATGTGGGTACATCCAGAAATGTTATGGTTTGAACGTTCCCTATGTGGGTACATCCAGAAGTGTTTTGATTTGAACATTCCCTATGTGGGTACCAAATGTTTTGGTTTGAACGTTCCCTATGTGGGTACCAAATTTTTTGGTGTGAACGTTCCCTGTGTGGGTACCAAATGTTTTGGTGTGAACGTTCCCTATGTGGGTACCAAATGTTTTGGTGTGAACGTTCCCTGTGTGGGTACCAAATGTTTTGGTTTGAACGTTCCCTATGTGGGTACATCCAGAAATGTTTTGGTTTGAACATTCCCTTAGTATGTACATCCAGAAATGTTTTGATTTGAACGTTCCCTATGTGGGTACATCCAGAAATATTTTGATTTGAACATTCCCTATACGGGTATATCCAGAAATGTTTTTGTTAGAACGTTCCCTATGTTGGTACATCCAGAAATGTTTTGGTTTGAACATTCCTTATGTGGGTACATCCAGAAATATTTTGGTTAGAACATTCCCTGTGTGGGTATATCCAGAAATGTTTTGGTTTGAACATTCCCTTAGTATGTACATCCAGAAATGTTTTGATTTGAACGTTCCCTATGTGGGTACATCCAGAAATATTTTGATTTGAACATTCCCTATACGGGTATATCCAGAAATGTTTTTGTTAGAACGTTCCCTATGTTGGTACATCCAGAAATGTTTTGGTTTGAACATTCCTTATGTGGGTACATCCAGAAATATTTTGGTTAGAACATTCCCTATGTGGGTACATCCAGAAATGTTTTGGTTAGAACATTTCCTATGTGGGTGCCAAATGTTTTGGTTTGAACGTTCCCTATGTGGGTACATCCAGAAATGTTATGGTTTGAACGTTCCCTATGTGGGTACATCAAGAAATGTTTTGATTAGAACATTCCCTATGTGGGTACCAAATGTTTTGGTTTGAACGTTCCATATGTGGGTACCAAATGTTTTGGTGTGAACGTTCCCTGTGTGGGTACCAAATGTTTTGGTGTGAACGTTCCTTGTGTGGGTACCAAATGTTTTGGTTTGAACGTTCCCTATGTGGGTACCAAATGTTTTGGTTTGAACGTTCCCTATGTGGGTACCAAATGTTTTGGTGTGAACGTTCCCTATGTGGGTACCAAATGTTTTGGTATGAACGTTCCCTGTGTGAGTACCAAGTGTTTTGGTTTGAACGTTCCCTATGTGGATACATCCAGAAATGTTTTGGTTTGAACATTCCCTGTGTGGGTATATCCAGGAATGTTTTGGTTTGAACATTCCCTATGTTGGTATATCCAGAAATGTTTTTGTTAGAACGTTCCCTATGTGGGTACATCCAGAAATGTTTTGGTTTGAACATTCCCTGTGTGGGTATATCCAGGAATGTTTTGGTTTGAACATTCCCTATGTTGGTATATCCAGAAATGTTTTGGTTTGAACATTCCCTATGTGGGTACATCAGGAAATGTTTTGGTTAAAACATTCCCTATGTGGGTACCAAATGTTTTGGTTTGAACGTTCCCTATGTGGGTACATCCAGAAATGTTATGGTCTGAACGTTCCCTATGTGGTTACATCCAGAAATGTTTTGATTTGAACGTTCCCTATGAGGGTACCAAATGTTTCGGTTTGAACGTTCCCTATGTGGGTACCAAATGTTTTGGTGTTAACGTTCCCTGTGTGGGTACCAAATGTTTTGGTTTGAACGTTCCCTATGTGGGTACCAAATGTTTTGGTTTGAACGTTCCCTATGTGGGTACCAAATGTTTTGGTGTGAACGTTCCCTATGTGGGTACATCCAGAAAAGCGCTCCAGACGTACGAAATTAATAAAGTAAAATGTTCATATATGAGTATTGATATAGTTTTGACAATATATATCGATTACAATAAATAAAATTGATTTCCCCTAAGTAATAGGTGTACAAACAAATTTGAAATACGATGAACAGAAGGTCGAGATAGCCTGATTTTGAACAGGCAAACTCATGTGGTGTAGTTGATGAGAGGCAACAGTAGTTTACCAATGTTCAAGTATTAAAGAATCATTCAGAACATACAAATCAAGGCAAAAACTTAGGTAATCGCATGAGTTCCAAGAGGGGCTATATAAGGTGCGTCAAAGGAATGAGGGTAAGCACCTAATGTAATTCATGTATCACCAAGCATATGAATACACTACGTAAAATGTGACAATAAAGAATTTGAAACAATCAGGATATTAACAAATCTGACATCTAGAGATCTAGGACTACAAAAATATATAGTTAGTTTTTTTTATAGAAAAAGATACATCGTTTCGGCCAATCTTTTCGTAATGATGACAGTAATGCTGTCTCGATTTTAGACATTTTTCCTCAAAACCTTGTAAAAGTAGATTTTGTGTCGGGAACGATGATAGATTAAAATTAATACGACAGCAACTAAATTACTATATTAAAAAACACGCATTCGTCAACAAATGTCTGCTAACAACGAAACATGTTGGATTGCTGTCATGTTTAAGGTATCTTACATCTGTCGTCGTGTCGAATGAATTCCTTCCTTATGCAACAGGTGTAGTTTTGTGTACATTACAATTATTTTTTCATTGTTTTGCAATAATGCAAATAAATAATGTAACATCATTGTGAAGTCTGTTCTTTATTTTATGAAATGAAATTGGTTTAGAATAATAAAAACTTTATTTGAAGAAAGAAATAAAAGTTATTGTTAAATAAAATATAAAATGTTTCTTTTCATCTGTCTTAAAATATAATTTTATTCTGACATTTATATCATTAAAACCAAAAAATCAACAATAAAACAGTATACTATTCTAGCGCATTGTATATTATGAGATTTTTTTAGAGATTGATAAAGAATAGAATAAGACATGCTGCAGATTTTAACACAGATGTGTCATGCTGGTAATGTATTCAACACAAAACATTAAAATTTGAACATAATATATAAAAAAAAGAACCAGGTGTATAACATATAACATGTATTATTTTATTTAGTGCATTTATTCTCTATTTGCACTATCATAAATTTCACATGTAGATGAAAACGTAAAAACATTGAAGATGATATAATGTGAAATGTTTCATTATATTTTGTCCATTTAATTGGTTTTTGGTTGCAGTATTTCAAACCAATATGTCAAATGAATATTGCATTCAAATTGACAGCTCTGTGCAATGTTTTTAAACTGTTTGACAATTAACAATAAAAACAAAGTAATACATAAATTAGTATAGGGAAGGCAATTTTATATATTTGTTAATGAGATAACTCTCTACCAAACACCAAAAGGACAAGGTTCTAAGTAGTTTAAAGTCGCCGTATCGTTGGCTGTAAAGGTCCCGAGAGAACAAAATTTGAATCAAATTAAAACAAACCAGTGTAGGAGATCAATCCTAAAATAACAAGCAAAAGTGTAAGTCAGGAATGGCAACAAATGCAATGACTTTTCAACGGCATGATCAATCTTTTTAAATACATTTCAGTATATTACAGGTCATATTACCGAAAAATATAAATCTATTGACACTATAATATTACGATTCTTTCAATCAACAATTGTTCAGTTCCTTATCACAGATTAAGATCTAATTTAGTGGAAATTGATTTACAAGACAACATTGTTTAACCCTACTGACACTTTTTTGCGGAAATGACGTCTTATATTTCTAAAACAAACATCCTTTAACCTTAAGTATGCTATAAACACTAATATATGATGTAATAAAGATAAAATGTAATCTTTCTGTTTGGATTTCATCTGCATATCAAACTAATGTATTCATAAATTTGACAGAAAATAAATAATTAATCCATAAAAACTGATTTATCCTAAGAAAAACTAAGTATATCTTTCAAGATATGTTCAGATCTATTTGAGTGCTTACTGCTGTCCTTGTTTGAACGGTTTGGTTTTAACATATTATCAATTAACAACGAACACGCACTTGGTTTGATGCATATTTGATTACGTCATTGCAAATACATGTATTAGGGTCGTTTGTAAAATTAATTAGAAAAGATTACTAATCATATCATCAAATATACCAGGTTTATCAGTTATATATTATAATATATGATTATATTATTTATAATAGAGGCTACTTATCTTCAGCATGTTTAGTCAAACGACAAAATTAAGTGCAAAATTAGAGGTAATTCCATGTTGATTTAATTTATCTGTGTTTTTCAAAAGACAATACCAATATAGCTAGGATTGTAAATGTTAATATGAGAACATTTGTCCGAGTTCGATAAACCAGTAGTGCACAAATGTCTTTTGAGGACATTTCCGGATCTTGTGACGAATCTTGATTTGTACAGATTACTCACTTATGGATTAATTTTCTATACAAAAATACCAATAAATTATATTTATTCAATACAATGAATGTTTGTCGAAATAGCTTTCTGAATCCAATTAATCCAAATGTTGAACACTGAAATTATTACTGAAGTTACAAAGGATGAAATATTTTGTCTACAATAGTTCCTAAATTGATATTATAATTTTATACACATTTTAAATAATTCATTTATTGGGAAGGCATTGAATATATATATTTAATTTTTTACATCATGTAATGCATTGTCGTTTTACTTTCCTTTTTGCATATTTAATTTAGTTGTTTTGTAAATTTTATCTAAGAACAGATATATATATATACCACCTTTGAAAGTTTGGACCAAAGTAATCACAGACATTTAATATAAT